TCTGTGCTTTGCTGCAATGCCTAAAAAATTTGCAAACAGTCTGACTGTGAGCGAGCTGAGAACATTGCCTCGCATGCCAGGCGATACGTTCTCTTTGTTTCCCTGGGCTTCTTCAATTGGTGGCAACCATCTGCCTCTCCACAGACTGTAGGTTCTTTGGGGTAGGACCATCTCTTCCTTCTGTAAGGTGACAGTGCCCAGTCCTGTTACTCTGACAGTTACATTTGGCTTAGGCAAAATTCCTTTTAGCTTAGCTCTAATTTTTAAGTAATGCACAGAATGATTTGCAAGGACATACTCTCAGATCTAATAAAAAGCTCAGGATTAGTCATACAGTTGTGTGTAGAGGAAGATTTGCTGGTTTGTTTTCTTTATATTGTTGATTTTATTGATTTGCCTGCAAAGACAAACCTTTGTGTTTACTCCTATCCCGCACAAAGGACGCAGTGAAAGCCATAGGTAGGTTCAGAATCCTGCCCTGTATTCCTCCACCCTGGCCTCTTTAAGGATGATGAATTTTAGAAAGTACTTCTTTAGTTAAATATCTGGATTGTTTTCAAAATTATGACTTCCAAATGTCACGGTGTCATCGAAGTATAGAATGAAAATTGTGAATGTGTTATGGGAAATCCTCTTGTAAAATTTTGCCCTTGTATCAGTGTGGAGGGCCTAGAGTAAATCAAGCTTTATGATCCTCAAAGCCAGCAGGGAGTCTTGCTTTAAACCATTTATTGTTCAGCACATAGGCAGTGCCCTGCAGTGTTCTGCCTGCAGTCTGTTCCCGTCAGGTAGGAGAAACCACTGTGGGAGACACCGGCCCCAACCCCTTGAGCATATGGTGGGTCACAAGAAACTGTTGCCCATCAACATGTACACATGCCACCTGCCTGAGGTGCCTTGGGGCTGCTAAAAGCCTCCTGTCTTCAGGTGTGCAGCCTGCCTTCCCCTGGCAGAGAGGGGTGCCTGTCACCCCAGCCACCCGTGGGGCGGGATTATCCCCTCCTTGGGCTCATGTTCTTGCTCTCACATTGTCAGTATGGTGACCTTGCCCCACCAAAGCCAGTAATGTGGCTGTGGCAGGTTCCCATGGGAAGCGACTGTGGCAATGGGAGAATCACCTGCCTTTCCCCTGCCTTTGCCACCATTGCTTGGGGCCCAAATAATACCCATGGGTCAGCACACACAAGTCAGCAATAACAGCATTGCAAGCAGGAACCACCAGCAGCAGTCCGAGCAAGTCCCAGTGAGACTTGTGTGCTTTTTGCAAGGGGCTTTCTGAGATGACCCTGCTGCACTGGGGGGACCCTGGGGAGGCTGCTCACCCGGGCACCTCCATCACCTCTTCCTGTGGTTTAACTCCCACACCTGACCTGCTTGCCTCATTCCTCCCTCACTCTGCTGCAGGATGGCTACAAAGTTCTTTAGAAATAGATTTAAAAAAAAAAAAAAAAGAAAACAGTGAGGGGGGGAAAAAGCATTTATAGTTGTAGGCAATGGACTGTGGTGCATGTGAGAGTCAGGGCCTGCTACCATCCAGAGTCTCAAGTGACGTAGGCCATTGCTATTCCAAATCCTGCAGGGATCTCCAGTGGCAAGAACTGACGAGGAGAAAAAAGTGGTATGGGACCCTTTCCTGAAGAGAAATTTCTAATCCAGAAGCTGAACTATTGGTGTAGACGGAAATGTTGATGTAACTGCCCTTTTGTCAGGATAAAAATGAATATGCTAGGAAGTATCTGGGAAAATGAGCTGGAAAGTCAGAATCATTGTATGGAGCACAGGAAGTAAGGAAAACTGGAAAGTTGGGCCTGATATTAAGAGATAACATATTTAAGGATCTGAAAGTGCATTCTTATAATGGGAGAATCTTAGAATCATTAAATCTGGGAAAGACCTCTAAGATCATAAAGTCCAGCTGTCAAGAGAAGCAGAGGCCTGTGAAAGAGAAACCAATGAAGTCTGAGGCATATAGAGAAAGTGTCAGGTCCAGGGATGATTACTGCCTAAATGTTTGAGGCATTTGTCTCAGGGTGGCTTACAGCAGAGACTGCAAAATCTGCCAAAAGAGCAGGGCCCTGAGCCCCCTGCTGCTGTGCTTTCCCTGCTGCTTGCACTGAGCTGAGGTGGGTGATGTCATGTGCACTGCGCTCTGGAGAGACAGGGACATGCAGCACTGGCAACATGGAGAGCTTTTTGGGGAGTGTCAGTCAAGAAGGTGCTTCTAACAGTGTGGAAAAAATTTATTTCTGTTGGTTAATTCCTGCTGCGTTTGGGGAAGCAGCCCTTGCTGGTGACAAAGGCACAGGATTACAGTGAAGGAACTTGTAATTTCATTATTAATTTCTCCTCTTAATGGAAATAGAGCACAAGATGGTGAATATTGACAGCTAGGTTCAAAATGTTCCTTGTCTTTAACTTTGGGGAGGATATCAGCATAGCATTGACATTCTCAGCTGCTTGATACCTGTTAGGAAACAGTACCCCCATGAAGCAGTGAAGGCATTAGTGGATGAATGAAGTGAATAGTCTGCACAGCCCATGGGATCCCCATGTATGTGCCGAAAGAGGCCTTTGTGGCTTGTTGGCCAGTCCCTTGCCCAGGAGGGGCACGTTCATCTCTGTATCCTGGCAGTCAGGACTTAATTTTCAGAGGCTGGAACTTCAAAGTTCACCTGAAACAGCCTATGAGGGTTATTCTTTCAGAGCCCTTGGGCAACTAATACAGATTTTGGTAACACCTGCAATTACAGAAAATGTTCTATAATTCAGCTGTGTTGAGCATGGCCAAGAAATCCTTTTTAAAGACAGCTGTGGTAGTCAAAGCATATTCTTTCCTTTCCCTTTTATTTTCTGCACAAAGAAACTTGTTTGGAAAGCTCTCCCATTCTGAATACCATGCCACAGGAATCTCACTGCCATTCTCCAAATGGAGAGAGTTACACAAGAAATGGCAGAAATAGGTAGTAATACATTTTTTTGCACCTTCTGGAACTCCGGTACTGCAGTAAGGAGGTTTTTCTTTGAATGTAGGCAAGGCTGGAAATTTAAAGGAAAAACTCAGTGTTCTGTGTATTTCCGGAAAAAGGTGGACTCTGCAACATTAGCCTTATCCTGCTCTGGGCAGCAAGCACAGGCAGTCTCCTGCTTGTTCAGGAAAGCTGGCATGGGGCATACAGTAAGAAGAATTTTTCACAGTACTGGTTTTCATCTCAAATGCATTTTGGCAGATACTGATACACTTCCTGTTAACTTCAGGAGGCTCCCAATTTTATGTTGATTGCTTCCTGTTAATACAGTATTTCTTATAGATAAGGAACACAGCACTTAAGGTTTAACATGGGGGCACTGTGCAAGTTGCATATTATGAAACAAAGGAACCAGCAGATTGGCAGGTTCCCAGACTCTTGCTTTTAGCGTCCAGAGAAGCTGTGGAAATGTTCAAAGCCACGTTGGATGGGGCTTGGAGCAACCTGCTCTAATGGAAGTTTTCCCTGCCCATGGCAGGGGAGTTGGAACTAGATGACCTTCAAAGCTCCTTGCCAACCCAAACCATTCTATGATGATTCGCTGATGGTGATTTAGACTGACACTATAGGAGGAGTTCTACTCAAGTTAACTTTTTTTTGAATGAGACATAACTCTGCTGGTGCCAACAGGGTTGATGTGGTACAGAGATGGTGCAGCAAAAGGAAAATGAGATCTGCCACTGCGTGCTGTGTAAGCCAGAGCCTCAGAATCAAACAGAAGTGTTCCTTTATATAACATTAATTAGGCATCTGCTGAAAAGAAGATGAGTTATGAGAATTCTTGAAAAGTGGTATCATTGTGGAATACCTAATATAGAGTACTTCTCCAAGTAGAAACATATTTCTGCTCTTTTACAGCAGAAGTATTTCTCAGACAGCTTTAGGCTGCCGTAGCAGAGAATATAGGGGTGCAAATCAGCACTGATCTCTGGAACACTTGTGATGAAAACTGACGTGGGTTCAATGTGCTCACTGGTGCTATATTGACTTACACCACCTGAAATTTTTACTTTGCAAGTAGGACTGCATCTGGAGTCAAATTCTGCCTTGCTATCCATATTCAAGGTTGAATGTATTGATAATGAAAAAAGGGAGCTTTCTCAACACAGTCTATCCATGGACACTCCTAAAAGATGGAGAAATTAATTTTGTAAATTAGATTTTACCGCCATTTCTCACATAGTGTGCTATATGACTCCAGGAACAGAACTGAATCCAGTGAAAAGAGATCACCGTTAACAGAAAGCAGTAATAACAGTAAGTATCAGATTAGGTATTTTTAGTGGTAAAGATTTAGCAGTAGAGAAGTAAGCAAGAACATGCATAATGCTGAGTAAAAGAGAACGCTCTTGGGAAAGAAATAATTTATTTTTAAATATGCCTCCAAATAACCATGTAATATTAGCACATCCTTTCAACTTGGGTCGTGGCTGCATTAAGGTTCCTACCCAGTCAGGTCAACCTGTGGGTATAAATATATGCTTTAAGTTATGTAAACACCATCCAATCCTACACCATCCAATCCTATTTGCGTCGTCACTCTATGACACGAAATGCTATAATGACCTCCTTTTAGTTTGTCCAGTGCTATGTATAAAACAGGCTTAGGTCCTTTTCTTGTTAAGGAGGTCAGCTCTCTTAATGAGCTTTAAGCATTCCCAGAGAGTCTTGCAATATTGCAAGACATACCTGGCCCCAGGCAGGACAGTTATGGCTCTGCCAACACCTAAGTGGTGCAGACAGATTCCATGTGACAGGTTATGTAACTGAGCTGGGCTTTATATGCCCCGGGACCCAATGCATGTAAAGGGCTTGAGGGAGAAGAGCATCAGGTGAGGAAAAGATGTTTGCATACTGTGCTTCTTGGGGTGCTTTTGGCATTGTAGCAAACAATATTAGGCTTAATCTTATGCTTCATTAAGAGGTCAATTTGTAATAAGTCCGTGGGATTTAGTAATGATTTGTGTGTTCTAGAATTGAAGGGGCTGAAATTCTACGAAGACTCAGAAATCATGATGATTCCTCTCCGGAGAATGACACCTGGGTATATAAGGTTGTTGCAGGTATGAAATTATGTGGGTTTGGGGTTTTTTTCTGCTTTTAATTGATCTTCAAAGTACCTCTGTTTCTCTTGACCAGCCTTATTTTATTTCAAATTATTGCATGACCAACCCAAGGGAACACTTGTTTCTTGTGGGTTAACTTACATAACAACACAAAGAAGGCTTAATTAAGCCTCTGCTGAAAAGCAATTGAATTATGATATATCTTGATAATTGGTATCATGGTGGAATACCAAATGCAGAATACTTGGAAGGAGTTTATGCTTCTGCAGTGCTAAAACAGAAACTGCTTCTCCGTAATTTTCTCTTTCAATGGCTTTGTGTATTTGGAGCAGTAGGAAAATGTTAATGGGAAGAAGGATGATGGCTTCCTGATCAACTCAGATGAGCTGTCAGTGAAACACTTCAGCCAGCTTCCATGGCTGTGATAAAGAAACCTCAGTCAGTGATGCACTCTGGAACACAGGGGGACATTCAATCATTATATGAAAAAAAATAAAAGCAAGCATAGAAAATGCTTTAAAACAGCTGAATAATTGAGACTAAAGCAGCCAAGTATATATATACATATACATATATATATATATACCAAAGTAGAACATCTTCCTTATTTTACTACATATTTTGATATTTACAGTGCATCTATCCTTTCTCTGGAAGATGTCACAGCTCTTAAAAATGTGATCTGCATCCAGAATCATAGGCTATAGTAGCTGAGAGATGATGATTGAGTAGTTGAGAGGCTGAGCTAAAGATACTGTGTTTCAGACCTAGCAGTGAATTTCTTTCATGCTTCCCTATATATCTTTTGGTATCACCCTACGTAGTAATTCTGTTCGGAATTTCCACTGTCTTTATTTATTCTACTGCTGAAGAAGCCCTAGCTAGATACATTGATCAAGGTCAGAGCACTCAGCTCTGATTCTTTAAGCTCTATAAAAACTGGAATATGGAAGTGAAAATCAGGCTCCTTGGAATCTGTTGCTCCTCTCAGTGGTGCCATCCATGCTTTCTGTTCATGGATTGCAAGGGAAATCATTAAAAACATTATCTGAGGCCTAGTCCTCTTTTCATGTACAAAAACAAAATGCAGCAACTAGAAAGACACGATATGTTTTAACTCGAAGAACCAGTGTGTATTGGAATTTGTATTTTGCTCTCTAGAGAGTCCATGCAACAGTGTTTCTGCTTCTTGGTTAATGTATCATATGTTCTAGGCAAGCAACAGGAACTTAATTTCTTTTCTGATTGTTTTTCAGATAATAGGTAATTGATTTTTTTTTAATCTTTACTTTGATTGTCTTGAACGAAGACTTTGTGTCTTGGTTGTACCTGACAAAGTGACTGTGTTAAAACTTGTCTGCTTGGTCTAGTCTTACTTCTAGAGCTCATGAGCAGTGTTTGTGATCCCTTTTAGCCTTGCTTTCCTGAATTAATATCTAACGTTCAAGGGAGCATCTCTGTGTTAGTAGCTAATCTGTGGGAGGGAAGAAATCTTTGTACTTCACTGAACAAGAAAGTTCCTTCTCCTTTATGCCTAAGCCTCCACATTTGATTCATCTCTCCCTCTCAGTGCGGTAGCCACGTGGAACCCCATTAAAGTCACCAAAATCAACAGTTGCAATTGAAAGAAAAATCGTATCAGAAATGTGTCCTTTCTTTTGCAAACTGATAAAAAGGGAGGCCGTCCAAAACATGCAATAGTTTGTGACAAATACTCTTCAGCAGAAAGCAGAATCATACTATGTTAAATGGCATGGAGAAGAAAGAAGTGCTTTGTAGGTTCCAAAGACCTTCTTTTGTGTTGCACTCAGCTGAATCAGCATGTAACTTGCCCTGTTTCTCCCACAGACTCAAGCTGCAGCAAAAATTGTTATCAACCCATCAGACACAGCACTGCAACGGGCAGCGTTCCTCCTGGGAGTGTTTGGGATCAGTATATCCAGCTACAGCACACATCAGCTAACTCAAACAAAGAGATTTCCCTTGACCCCTTAAGCTGTGTTGGGATGTGACCCAAGAAGTCCAGGCTTATGTCAGTACTGCTGATGAGTGGCTTTTCTGCCTCAGATACCAGTGTGGAGGTAATGAGACACTTTGCAGTCGTGGCTTCTACGTGCAAAGTTAAAAAGATGGAAGAATTCCAGACATCTTCAAGAAAGAAAAAAACTGCTATCAGAATCATCAGATTTCCAAATAACAAAAACCGTCTGTAAATACAATGGACTTCTTTTGTTATCCAGTGTATACACAGAGAGAGACCTAAAGGTATAAAAATGCGGTTACATTCAGAGTAGGTGTAAACAGGTTGATGGGGGTGCCGTGCTTCAGGAGAATTGCACTGCATTGCAGCTTTTGCAAATTGACTCTGATGCAAAGACTGGTTTTGAAAAGAAGTTAAAGGCAACATATTCCTCTAATAAGAGTTAGAACGAATGAAAGTAATCTCCCATTGACTCTTTTCACTATTCTATCTAACTAGATATGTACATTTGTGTGTATTACAGAATTTGTGCACTCTAGCCTTTTTTATTGAATCTTAAACATTTCTTGATGCCTTTTGAGTAGCAATGTCTGTGTATGTAACACAAGCTGGTAGTCTTCTGCCACAGCAGAGATGGCCACAGGCTACACCAGCCATATGGTGCTGGGAAAGGCCCATGGCTCCAGACCAGATAACTTCATAACTCTGTACAGTAACTCTCTGTTCTAGAAAGTATCAGTAAAAATATTGTGTTGGGTTTCACTGTGAAGTTCCACATCTGATCAAATTCCTCTGCAAAGCCAACTCATCCCATAATATACATTTTGATTAAAATAGAAATAGAGATTAACTTTTTTTCCCCTCCTTCTCCCTGTTTTTTTTCTCACTTGGTGCAATAGCTTATTCAAGAATGTTCTTTTACTATTGGTTTGAATTTTTCCAACTGTTTCTGATGTTTTATGTAAACATAGCTTTGTGGGCTCTTCTGTACATATGTTAGCATTTAAAATCCTTTGTTCTCAGTTACTAAATACAAATATTATTTGGGGTTTTTTAGTGTTTAAAATTATTACATCTGTCAACAGTGTATATATTCAGCCACTAAGGGGCATCCTACACAGTTGAATATTTTGAACTCTTCAGGTTGCTCATTCCAATATTACAAACCACAAATTGAATCAGGCTGAAATTTTTACTTTTTTTTTTTTTTAAACTGTTGTTTCCTCTGTTTCCTTTTTTTCTCATCCCCTCCAAGAAATGTCTCTCCTCTCCCACAGCTCTTGTAAACTGAAAATGATGAGAAAATCAGCATTTACAAGGTCATTTTTTCCAATGTACCAGGTCACAAATTACCTGCATCTTGTATAGACTTCTGTTTATATTTAAAAATCATATAATGCAATATTCCGACTTCTGCCTTCCCCTACAAGAAATGAAACAAAATACTTGAACCCCTTGACAAAAGTAAGAATGATACCTCTGAAAAACATTCAGTCACATAGACTGACATTACACAGTGGTCAGGACTGACTGACCACCACCACCACCCTCAGTATGCCACAGTTATGGCTTTTTAATCTATTTATATGATATTGGGCAGGCGCAGTTCTGTTAACTGATTTCCTGCTCCCATTCAACACAAATGTAAGACTGTTTTCAGGGCCATTACTATGCTAATGCAAAACTCTTCTGTTAGATGAAGGCTAAGTGCAATAACAACATCATTTTAAGAAGATATACTAGAATAAAATAAATGATAACTTGGCTGTGAGATGTTCTAATTAGAAATGATGCTCATAAGGTATGTGTACTTTTTTCACGAGAATTGCTTTGGATAGTTTTGAAAGCTTTATTTAGTACCAGGGAAAATGGCCAGAGGACAACACAGGCAATAGGTACATTGAGTGTGGAGAGACTCAATAAAGGTATGAGCCATAGGAGCCTCGGGAAAATACAGTGAAGCACCAGGGAGATGTAACTGAAATTATTTACAAAACAGATTTAAACTTGCTGATGGTGAATTTGGCCTGGGCTGAAAATCAACTTCAGGTGAAAAGTTGGCACTGCATCCAGCAGAAGATGTAGGCACAGGTATCTAACCTGTCTGTTCCTGCAGAAATCTACACCTAATATGTCAATTTTCTGAAGTTCAGCTGTCAACTAATGCCAGGCACAACAGACGTCCATGTGCCCTTCCCTTTCGCTGCTGTGGCTCCCTGGAAGATCTGCTTTCAGCCTTCCCCTCAGCCAGGTGAGGCTGGGGTGTGATTAGCACCCAGACATCAAAACCTTGTGGGGGGGCAACAACATGCCCATCTTCTCATCCTTCCTGTGGCTGGAAGCATAGTGATGGACTGGAGGCTGCCCAGAATATGCCTGGAAGCTAACATCCTCTGTCTCATTTTGTCCTGCTGTTGGTCAGAGCAAATACTCTTTGGCAGAGGAAGGAAAGGCAGCTGCACAGATCTCCCACAGAGGAGCCCGTGGCACTGTACCTTCCCTCTTCATGTTCTTCTGAAGGACCAGTGTGGTCCCAAGGGGTCCCAGCTCCTAAAGCAGGCTGGCTCTAGGAACCTGTCCCTGCTCTACATCCGCTACAGCAGGGGGCCCAAACAGGCAATTAGGATAAACTAAAACTTTATCCTCCTAATTGCCTGTTAGCTGTTTGCCCCCTCCCTGCACTTGCTGTGCCAGGGGTTTGGACTTTACCTATGTTTGCCACGTTTATAGACATCTAACTCAAGCCTCCAGGCTCAGTTTGTGGCTGGTCTCCCAAAATCTGAGTAGGATACCACTCTGTGCTGCAATTCCCAGATGTGCCTGTGAATGTTCTCTTCAAAGCTGTGAGCATGCCAAACTTCAAGCATATGTTTATGTCTTATTGAAGTCAAAGAGGGTTTAAGGAACATCCTCACATCCTTTGCCAGACTGAGGTATTTAATCTCTTCCTTGATCTCCCCCCAAAAAGTATTTACATTTTAAATATATTTGTACTTTTGTTTATATGGCTTTTACATCAAAAATGTTGGCAATTCATCAACAACTGAATGCTGATGAGAGTCAGGAGCCTGGTGAGCTTGGAGAGGTTAATGCTGCATTATTTAGTTTTAAGAAACACCAACAATGGATTTCATTTGGCATATAAATTGTTATGTTTGAGGACTTAGGCTCCAGGAATTACTTTTTACCTACCCTAGCTTGTAAAAATATTTAAATAGAAGCACTATTTAAGCTCGTAAATATTAGACTTTCTTTATAAATACACTTAAAAGCCATTTAATAAAAATTATTATGTTGGGTTTACCTCTAATATCAGACAAATATAGGTCAATATCTCTTGATGCTGAACAATGGTAACTCAACTAATCCACTTCTAGCAGCAGTAACTTCTCTAGTCTGAATTATGTCTTGATATATCAAGTTAATTATTTTATTCTTTGAGAAGGAATCACAAGAGATTTTGTAGCTGTTTGATTTTTATGCCTGAGTCCACTTCCTAAAGGCAAGTGAAATGAAAGTATTAAATAATCAGAAACTCAAACATGGTTTATATTCTCTTCAAATAGATGTAGCATAGACTGGAGACTTGTTTGCGATAAATGGCATTGCTAGTGAATATCACAGAGCATTCAAGCTCCCTTTCACATATATACTCAGTTATCTAAAGCAGGATTTCTGTCTTCTTCCATCAGGACAGGCAACCAAGGACAGTCACTCAAGGTAGCACTCATCTACTAGTCAGGGAAGTATAAAATAAAGGCAGTGTCTGACATATTTTCATGCATCTCCTGGAAATTATTTTTCTGCATGAAAATTACTGCTCTAGAGCATTACTTATCTCTAAAGTTAGAGCTGCAGATTGTGCACATCTCCTGATATATCACAGACCAAGAAGACAAACTTGAGTTTGCCTTAACAATGAGTGGAAGCTCCATCACTTCCTAGGCAGAGGTAGTGTCATCATGGTACTGAACCCCTAATTTGTATATCAAACTAAGAACAGAAGGCAAACAAACTGAGAAACCCTTCATTTTAGACCATGCATTTTTGCTAGTGCTAGATGCATGGAAGTCTGGCCTCAGCTGAGGTTTCAGGTGCTGCCATAGTGGTAATTAGCAAATTAATAAATTAATAAATAAAACTGGGGCACTGATGCTGCATGGGAGCTTCCTTCTTGAGATGTTCTGTGTCTGAAAATCACCTTTTCAACTGCAAGTTGTGTAGTGGGTTTATCAGTGGCAAAGCTGTATGCCAGTGTTAATTCACTTCCCTGGCCTCAGTTGAACGTGGCCACAGAGACTTAACTGAGAAATAGTTTTACCTGTGCAGTGCAATGGTGCTTGCATATGGATATGTTAGTAAAAAAACAAACAGAAGAAGACATTAATGCTTGTCACATCTTTTCCTACCTTGGATAAAAGGCCTTTTCTCCTCTTAGTTATGAGTAGTCAACGAGAACACAAAATAACACCCTGAAGAAGTATTGTCTTTCATATGACTTTCTTGTTATTCTTCTAAAACTATCACAATTTAATAAGGTAGCTGAAAGGTAGTTTAATCAAACAGCAGATTAATAAGGTTCCTGGGGCTACATTCACTTCAGCTTTTAACTAAATGTATAACCATGAGCTATGGAGTGTCACCGACTTTTAATCAGAGTGCCCCTGTCTCTGCAGTGCATGTGTTTGTAAGCATAAAAACAGACCCAAAGGGGCAGCATTCTTGCAAGTGACCTTTTTAAGAACACAAAGTGATTAAAAACAATAATCCATACCTTTTTGAAAACTTTTAGGAACTTCATGTAATCCACAACACCCCAGTGATGAGGTCCATCCTACAAGGGAGACACAGGAGTCGGAGTAATCAAAGGAGGTGTCTGATGCCAAGCAGGGTGAGGGCTTGAATTAGCTCTCAGTGGGTGCTTCCGTGTATTTTCCTAAGAAAGATCAGAGAACCAGCTCAGCTGACATGAACAATGAAAAGTTTGGAAAAGTCTGTGAGCACTCTTAATTCCCACTACACAGAGTAGAGGCAGGTCCTGGTGAGGCCACCGACACCCTGGCACCTGGCAGCAGCTTGAAGGTGCTTCACAATGAGCTGAAGGAATGTGGGTGGTTTCCTTACATGTCAAAGGTACTTGGTGTTTGGGGGTTCTATAATTTTTCTGTCATTTTCCTCACTGGGGGAAAGGGCTGTATCTCATTGCTGTTATTTAAACCAGAGTAAGGAATAAATAGAGTCAGAGTGACCCTGCTGCTGAGAAATATTTTTAATCTTTTTAAAAAAAGCAAATGACAAATTAGTTTGTCCTTCACTCTCTGTTCTTCAGTAATGGATTACAGGAACTTGGAACTTTTGGCCCAACAGGGATTGTGGCACGTAAAGCCAAAACTGCTGAAAGCTTGGACAGAATCGTCACTGGCCAGGAATAGCTCAAACACTATGTGTCTTCCCTGTCATAGCTGAGCCATATTTCCTTTTAAAACGCAAGCTTTGCCTTAAGGGAAAAGAAAGCTGTGCTCTGCTCTCCTAGGGGTCTTCAGCTGCCCTGTGATAGATCCCTGAGGAGAGGAAGGGCAGAGGAACGGAACCAAAAAATTTGCTTCACCATGACCCTCCAATGGCAGAAGAGCCCCTCGGCAGCTGCTTTGGGTCAACGTAGCCAGAGAATGGCTTAGCTTTTGGTGAGGGTCCCCATCCCTGTCCCTGCTGTCTCCTGCTCCCAGAGCTGCTTTCTGGAGCCTCTGAAGCTTATGGAGCTGTGCCTGACCCTCTGTGCCTCTCTGTCTGTTTGTGCACATAAGGGGGAGAGGGCAGGAGCAGGATCTGGCCATCAGGTGCAGGAGATGGTGAAC